TGTTGCTGGTACCGCGTTGGCGGTGCGACTACTTTTTCTTCTTACCGAGCCGTCAGACTCCCTTTGATATTCCCCTTTTTCGAGGGGAATTCAGCTCCTCGCCGATATTTTTTGCATTTTTTTTTAATTAGTACGCTTTGCCTCTTTCGACTCTTTTTCTCAGATGAGTCGCGCGAGTTTTAGGTCGTTATTTATTGGACCTACGTTTTGCATTCTGGAATTATCTTGTGATTCTTGTCAATTCTTGTTAAATTGTATCAGACTCGCTCGGAATTATCTTTGTCGTCGGTTCTATTCAGATCGGCTAGGTCAATGATTAAATTGGAGCGTTTGAACAGAAGCGAATTTTTGAATACGCTGTACAGTACAGTAGCCTCGCAGATTCATCCCCTCGAGAGAAAACCACCCCGTGATGAAGTGACGCCTGGTGGCGGGCCAACGAACAAGGGTCGAACGAATACAGAAAAGGGTGACTTGTTCTTAGGTTTCTGTCCGTGCTAACCGTCGCGCGGGATTATCGATCGCATCGCGCGGAGGCACGCGATCCGTGTTCGATCGAAATAGCGAGAAGAACGAAGCGACAGAGTTTCACGATGAAGCTCACTTGCGTCGCCGCAAGTGTCGAGAAATTCGTAGAAAAATAATTCCAAGCAACATTACAGAACCTCGCGAACCCTGCTCGCACCACTTGTAGCGCAAAACGTCGAATCGTTGGATGGGCAGAAAAAAAGAGAAAAAAAACACGACGCGAAGTATCGAAACGGCAATCCGGATTAAGAATTGTAACGGTAGGAGTGCTGGCCAGTAGGATGAAATGAGCGACGCGTCCGGCGCATTACGCAATGAAAGAAACAAATGAAGCTTAATAGAAAAACTGCCCGCGCTAGAAAAACCATTCCATCGTGCGTTTGGTACAGCTGCTGCAGAAAGTGCGGCGTTCGTTCTCGCACTTTCCTACCCTTTCTCGAATCGTCGTGCAAATTCTCCCCGGATAAAGAAACGGATCAAGAATCAACGAATCGTCGAGATTCCCACGATATTTTCCTCTAAGGCGATCTAAATCGTCGATTCGATTAAGAAAGAAAGACGAAAAAAGGGGGAAAAAGAACCGGGTCGGTGGATTGATTCGATTGATTCGTAACAGAATCTCATCGCGTTGGAATCATTATACGGATCGACGAGACGCGACGAATTTGCGGCGGTTGTTTACACAAACGCAGTATTGACAATGATCAACAAAATCCGCGCGATGTAGCAAACATCGATTTGACAAACATCGTTCCGGTTACGCGCCTCGACGGATCGGGACGAAGTATCGATGAATTTCGACAATAAAAAGACAGCGGCTGCGTATCGGTGCGACGTGTCGATCGGTGATAAAAGAATCATCGAACCGTGACGGCTGATGTCTCTTTCTCTCTCTCTCTTTCTTTCTCTCTCTCGCGCGCGCGCGCCCGCGCGCGTACGCGAGAGATCGATTTTTGACGTTTTGACGTGACGAGGAGAAGGACGCACGCTCGAAGGGAAACAGCGTGGACGAACGCTCGATTTCCTATTAATTCATTCTGTCGGAAAATCGGGATGCTAGCGGTCGCGTCGCCGTTCCCCGAGACCGAGATCAAAGTGTCGACGAAACTCGGCGCGGACACGCGGCGACGAGGTCTGTGGAACGCGTCGCTCGCATTTTTCCCGACTGTACCACCACTGTAGTCGTCTGTGGCTATGTCAATAGGAGCCAATCTAAGTATATATGCACACACAGATGTAATGCAGCGCGCGGTGCACGCTCCGCAGACCGTGATGCAATCGTGCCTCGTGCCTCGTGCAGTTTCGACATTCTCTTTGCCCCGCGTTATGCACAAAGTGCGGCAACGAGTGCCGTGCCGCAGAAAATTGATGCGCTTCGATTCAGAGACAAACATTGGCTCGATGCATCGTCCCTTCCACGCGGTCTCTCGTTCGTTTCTTTCCCCACGATTCGATCGATCGATCGATCGATCGATCTCCCGATCGAGTCTCTGCGTATGTACGTACGTACCTATGGAGAACGGTGGAGTGTAAAGAGACGGGAGGCGGAGGGAAAAAAGAGAGGATTTCTTCGCGACGACGGTTGCCATTTTTTGCGACTCGAACGAACAGACAAGATAAGATAAGAGGATGCGGATCCAGGATCAAGGTGACCAAGATAAGAGCACGGTTGGAGAGATTGAATCGTGTCGCGACAAGATTGTCGTCGTTCGAGATTCTCGTTCGAAAGAAAAGAAGCTCGACTCGTCATGAGAAGAAATTTTCGACGAAAAATCCGAAGAAGAGCTAGATTGATGCAAGATCGGTGAGCAGAGAAGATTGGTAAAGCGAAAGAGAGAGAGAGAGAGAGAGAGAGAGAGAGAAGGAGAGAGAGGCTGATTCTTTCGATTAAACGACTCGGAGAGCACGAGTCCCGATTGCTGTTATTTCGCGAGGGTGGAATAAAAGAGGGTGGGCCGGGGAGTAGGTGGTTGGGGTAGGCCGTTAATCGCGGCGAATGCGAACGGTCTGGACGGAAATAGCTGGGCGGCCGAGCGATCGTTGGAAAGTTTGACGGTTTTTTAGGGGGTCGAAATGCAGCTCGACCGGACCGGGAAGGGGAATTTTCCGTGGAAATCATCGACGTGTCCCGGGTCATCGACGAGCTCGAACCCGGAACACGAAACAGACACGCGTGCAAACGCATGTGCACGTACTAGCGGGACTAGGAAGGTGGTAGGCCGGTGTCTCGTATATCGGGGTGGTGGTTCCCGCATAGAACGCCGTGCGACGGCCTCCCATTGGCCTCCCATTGGCCGGTCCGGGGGTGGCTCGCTGCAGTCATCGATTCAGGCAGTCATTGGCTGACTCGGCCCCGGCCGCCATTTTGAATGACTCCGGGATCAATACGCGGGGTGTGGAAAAAAAATGCATGCAGGCCCGCCACCCTACTCTCCCTTCTCTCTCGCTCTCTCTCTCTCTCTCTCTCTCTCTCTCTTTCTATCTCTTCCTTCTCTCGCGTTCTCGCTCGCTTTCTCGCTCACCCTAGTTCATGCTACCACCGACACACACTGGAGTTGCATCGCCTCCTCTTTCCACCGAGGGGCACCCTAACGCCTTTCCGCTCCTGTCCACCACCCCCTGCTGGTATTCCCGGCGCAACAACAACGACCATCGACGAACCCAGCCAAATGGGATGATAGACTCACGCGCATTCCTACACGTAAACCCTGTGCAGCCCCATGCGTTCGCGTGTGTGCCGCTACCAGCACCAGTTACCAGAAGCAGCAGCGGCAGCAGCAAGCACCCCCTTGCTTGAAAATCATCGAAAAAAGCCCGACGAAAGCGCGTTGTTGCCGATTCTCTGCAACCCATCCACCCACTCGCCGCCCAATCGCCCCGTAGTCGTCATTTTCGTTCGTTCGTTCGTTCGTTCGTTCGTTCGTTCGCCAAACGTGTTCGCGTGTTGCGCGTTGCTACGTTGCATGCGGCAACGGTGGCCGCCGGTTTTCAGAGCCAGGCTTCCAGAGTTGCGAAATAGGAAATTTCGAATCGAACCCCGGTATAACCACCCTTTCCACCCCCTCCCCCCCCGTCGCCCTTCTTCCACCCGCTCGCGTTTCGCCTCACCCCTTCTCGATCATCGGTACGGGGCTCCCGGGGTCTGCCCCAGCGGTGCGTCATCGTCCCATGAAAAATAAAATGATTTCGAAGCGAGGTTCGTCCGATTCGCAATTTTTCTCCCCGCCCTCTCCCCCTCCACCCACCCTCTCCCACTTCCGCCTCGCTGATTTTTTTTCTCTATCCTCACTCCCGTGCGTTTCGTTCGTTTTCGAGCGGTGCCTCGCGTTCCCAGCTATAAATTTTTCCCTCTGTCCCGGCGGCGATTCGTTGACCCCTGCCGATTTTACGAGTCGCCTCTGCTCGGCAGAGGCCATGTTCTTCCGCCATTCCGTTCGTTTTCCAACGAATTTTGGTCGCCATTTTTCCACGGGATGGAAAATGTACTCCTTTGCGAAACGACGCGCCCGATACTCGATACCAATTTGCTCGATGCTGGCAAGACTCTCGATACACGTGCCACGGTCGCGAATAGTTAACAACTTTTTCTACCGCTCTACCAATCCCGTAATTCACGATAGAGAACGTCTCGGAAACTATATTACACGATGTCGTTGGATTTTTGAGAAGACCGGGTTCGATCTATTCGTTCGATGGACTGCAGTAAAGTTTGTTTACTCTCGTAGAAAATTCCAAGATCGTCGCGTGTGCGGCGATTCGACACGGGACAGCCCAGTCATCGTACCCGTCGTTGCATACTACTTAATAATCTGCGAATTATAATGATAATGCCTGTAATGGCAATGCTACGGGGTAACAGTAGTGATTACACCGTAGTTGCTATGATTACGGACGCTCTCGCGTTTAACCGATTTACTATAATAAGTGTTGCAGCCGTGGCGAGCGGTGCTGCACGCACGAAAGTATACAATTACAGAGAGGCAACTTTGTGGCGGTTGTTGCTGGGTGTGCCGCTCTGTAAAGGGCTGTCATTATTGCAAGTGGTAAGAAACGTTCCACGCGGAAAGAAAGCTCGTGCGCGCGTTCCTGTGATTTATCGTCTTTTCGGATTCACAGTTTTCGGAGAGATCGTACGGAGAGGTCGTACGCTGAGAAGAAAGCTGTGGATGGGATCGCGTCAGTGCGAAGTTTTTTCTTTTTTTTTTTTTTTTTTCTTTTGTCAAATAGACGTAAACGAGTAACGGATTCAGTCGGAAAGAGTGTCGTGCAAGCATGCCATGCAACTTTTCTGACGATATTTTTCTTGTGGATTTGGTTTGGTACTTACGTTTGGAACCGAACTAATTGAAACAAGGACATAAGGCTTCTCTTGGTAGCAACGACTTTTAGATCACATTTTTAGTTATTAAGAATTTTATGGTTTTTTTTCATTTTTCGCTTTTAAAATTTACGTTTAAAATCTAAAGTTTCTCAAAACTTGTTAAAAATATACTTTAGTCATATCTTTACAATTTACTTTGTTAGGCGTCTAAAGTGTTTTTTTGTTATTTTTTTTTTTTATTATTCTTTTTCCCCCCCTGTGTTTCTTGCTTGTTCCTTCGACAGTGTAGGTATACTCTTCTTTTCTTAAGGCAATGCTTTTTTTTGTTTTAATTTCGTTTCTTCTCTTTTTTTGTGCTTTTTTTGGTATTTTTTTTCTTGGTTATCCTTCTTTCCCTCTCCTTCTTCTTCTTCTTCTTCCGTTTCTTCGTCGTCTTTTTCTTACTTGTCGTAATTTCGAAATGAGGAACGCTCGAACGAAAGCTTGGTCTAAATAATCAAGTCCGGTTTCGGCAGAAACTTAAGAGGAGTTGTTCAGACTTTGTGTTTCACAGACAGAAATCGGTGCGTGTTTCGAAAACGGTGAAATTAATTTTTCAATGAAATAACTATGACAACACATAACAACACAGTGCGACGCGTCTGAAACAGAAAGTATACGAAGGGGGGGGGATGATCGTCGAGAATCTGAGTCGCCCTCTTTTCTATAGAAAAGTTAATCTAGTCGCGCGATTTACGTTTCGAATTTTGACGAGTTTCGACGCGGTTCGCGACGCGTTTCGACCCGAGAACAGGACCGAGAATAGACGAGTAAATTCGACAAATCCTTAACGACAGAAACAAATTTTTACCTTTCCGAAAAAAAAATGTATATATATATATGTATGTATGTAAATGTATATATATATATATATGTATGTATATATGTATGTACGTATGTATGTATGTATAATATGAAAAATAGAGAGGAAAGGCAAAACGACGTATTTTAAATCTTGGTAAACGAGAGCAAAAAAACTTAAGACAGGCAATACTGTAGATAAAATCTAGTTGAAAATCCCAAACAAAGAAAAAAGAAAAAAAGAGGAAAAAATATTGGGGAATTTGAACAACGAGGGAAAAATCCTGTCGAAACTTGGTATCATCGATACGTGGCAGGAAGATCGTGGTGTCCGTTATCGAACGAAGACCTCATCCCTTTCCAAGGGGGTAAGTAGTCGGCGTAAGGGGTTCGAATTTCCCGCGGGACGAAAGGAAAAACCTTGCTTATAAGAAGAGGCCCACGTGACCCGAGGAACGAATGAGCGTCTTTGCTACCCCCGCCGCGGCCACCCCCTTTCCACCCCCTCCAGATCGTGGTTCCCCTTCTAGAGAGGCGCGCGGCGTCGCTCCTTGCGCGTCCGTGGTAAGACGCGTCGGGAGGCTGGTTCTGTCTTTCTCTCTCTCTCTCGCTCTCTCGCATCGGGCTCTCGCTACCAGCCTCTTTCTCTTCCTCGCTCCTCATGCTTTCCCGGACTTTTCTCCCCCACGTGCTTCTCGCGACTCGCCAGTGTCTGCTGGTACGTCGCGGGATGGTGATCTTGGTAGAAAGCTTGGTAGTCTCCTTCCTCCTTCGTTCCATCCTCATTTCTCCTTGGGCTTTCCCTCTCCTTCTCTCTTTCTCTTTCTCTCGGTCCTTCCTTCGCCTTTATCTTTCTCTCTCTTTCAGCCTCTCCTTTTCGGTCTTTCCCTTTCTCTCCCTTTCTCTTTCTCTTGGGTGATGTGTTTCACCTCTCGTCCCGCGCCCTCGTTCCCATCGCGCCAAGTCGACCAAGGCGAACACGCTCCGATCTCTCACCACCGGACGTCCCACGATCAACCCGCGGCTTCTCTCCCGCTCTTCTCGGTCCTTATACTCTTTCGCGATTCTCAAACGCGAATACTATATACGCGGCGACGCGCCCCCAACCGCGGCCAATTCTCCCAAGAGATCGTTCCGTCGACTCAGGCTCTCGGACCCGAAACTTCTCTCTCCCCCCAAATGATCAGAGGAACACCTCGCGCGCACCGGACACGATTTATCCGCCGATCGCCGCAACGAAACGCGATTATTTTAGGAAAATTTCGGTAACCTTTGATAGAGGCATTGCGAGCATCCCCGTGTCTGAGTAGCAACTGCGCCGTGGCCCCGTGCCGGGCACCCCCACCTCACCTCCTCGCCGCCTCTATCACACCACCGAGCCACCAACCCTCTCTCGGACGCGCACCCCTCGACCTCCCCAACAACCCCGCGGCCCTCTTAGCCTCTCGCTCGCCCCATCGCAGCCCTCTCTGCCGGACCTTGTCCCGTTCTCGACCATCCACCCCCTTGCCCACCCCCTCGCGACCAGCGCTACTGCCCCATGCGCTGAGAGCGCCTCTCTCTGCGCTCTCCTGCGTTTGCGTTTTGCGCTGCGCAAACCCCGCCAGGTGGATAACGACGTATACTCGGCGCCTACGCCGATCATCTCGTCCTCTCTCTCTCTCTCTCTCTCTCTCTCTCTCTCTCTCTCTCTCGTTCTCTCCCTTGCTCCTTCCTTCTCTCGCTCGCTTGCTCGCTCGCTTTCTCTGTTTCGTTCCTCGTTCTCTCTGTGTGTCGTCGTCTTTGGGAACGATCGGCGTTAGGGTTACATCCGATTTCCTCGATGAATCACTTTTCAGGGATATCTCGTAGCAATAGGCGTTGGTAACGAGAACGTTCCCCGTTCGCCTTGCCGATGTATTTGGTTGACGCCAAAAGCCGAGGGAATATTCTTGGGCGCAACGTTTTGCTCTTTCGAACGTCGTCGTCCGCGTACCCACCGGGGTGCGTTCGTTTTATCGATTATTTCGATTGCTACGCCGGTGATTCGGCTGCACGAGCATTCATGACTCCGAAATTCCTCCCTTGAATTTCATTTCACCGATGCACCGTTCGCTATTCCGCCGGTGGTATTTCGAAACGAACCCGAATTCTTTTTCGGGCAAGACTGCATGATTTCGCGTTGCGTGATGAAGTAACGACGGAATGAAAATTGGTGCGTTAATTTTGCAACTGGTTAATAACTCTCTTTTCTCGAGAGTTTTACCTCGGTTTCATAGAACGTAACTTTGAAACTGAAACTGTTCGACTCCCGCAACTGTCGCGGATAAACAAGCAACGAGACGCTTTTAAAGAACTTGTTCAAAATAATAACTCTCCCTTTAGGAATCTCAGTCATTTGCGTTAGTGCAACTTTCGAACTCCTCAACTACGTGGCTGAAGAATAGTTTCGTCTTTCGATCGCGATACATTTTTTTCAAGAATACTCATCTACGAGCGCAAAAGTTTGCGCAAGTCTCTACAAACTACTCCAACTAAACTATCCCTTTCTGAAAACTTCTGTACATCGTCAACTCGACTTTTGACAAATTTCACAACCGAAGAAAACGAAACTGGTATTTATCCAAAGTGGATAGACGAGCGTAGAAATTAATCGCGCGATTAGTTTTCTAGACGTCGACGGCTTTCCAGCTGTTTACGATGCTTCGTTTCCACGATAGAGTGGTTTGTAAACGTTGAGGGGTGGCTTCTCTATCACACCCAATAACGATTCGGAGGCGTTATCGCGGCTTTACATCCCTTTGGCCTCGGCGTGACAGTAAGGTTAGCACGCCGTTGTTGCGTACACGCCAGAATGGACTTCGCGTTCGCCGTGTATTTCGAATACCGTCGTTAACCGCAGCTCGTCTCGTCCTTGCTTTATGAGACACGGATCTCGCCTACGTGAAAAACAATCAAGCGAATGTCGTGATGCACGAAATTACGGCGGTCTATCGCCACGATTAGAAGCACGCCGATTGAAAACGACGGCGATCGAGTAAATTTGGGGATTAGCTTGCTGGGGATGATTCGATTCATCGTGACTTTGATGCGACGCTCAGTTAACGTTGTGACTAAACGTTTGTCTCTTGACACGCGCTTGTGTGTACGCTTGCTCTGCCTGAATTTCATCCCGAGGAGACTAAAATTTCAATCGTCCTTAAAAGACGAGGGAGAAGGCGCGCGAACGATATCGCTTCAGTTAGGTGGATCGACATTGAAATTTCGATAAACGCGATCCACTCGGGGATAAACTCCACGGCGGGGTTGCAACTTGTTCTCTCGCTCGTTGCGGGAGTTTAGAGGCAAGTTTTACGGAGAATTCCAGGCTGAACGCGCGGTCTGGAAGATTTCGCCGTGTCGTCGTGGCAAATAGCAATTGGGGGGTGTTAGCGTGACACTACGTGCCAACCCACCATCCCAACGATAAGGTTAACATAACATCGTTGCGTACGCGACGTAACAGAGTACGTACACCGTCGTATTTCGAATCCTAGCGCTGACCGCAACTCGCTCCATCGCGTTTCCACGGGGGTTGATCGACCACCCCCAGAACGGCGTGCCTCGCCTCTGGAAATTCTCGAGCTGCATTCCCTAGCGCGAGCCTTTCGTCGATAGACCAGATCTTATTACGATTGGTAGACTGCCATGATCGAAATATAACCCGAATAACACGCGGCTATTTTTCTGGAATATACTTTTATCCGAAATCGATTTGTCTCTCTTCGTGGTTTCCAGTGAATTTCGGCATTTCTGTATACGGTATTCTTTCCACTGACGATAATCTCGACGGCTCGTACCTCGTTGTTGCAGATTTATTCCTTTGTTACATTTTTCATTGAATGTCGTAAACTCCGCGGTTTGTTGCCTGCATTATCTTTCTTCAATGAAGTCGAACAACTTGTAGCTTAATAACTGACACGAGTACATATGTACGTACATACGAGTAATTACTGCAACTTCAACGTCGTTGAATATTATTACTTTTTATGGATTTATTTTAAATACCTTAATTAAATGATCGTTCGTGTAACTTAACGCTCATGCATCCAGTGATTCTTCTTTTTTTTTGCCAAGATTATTATTTACAGTTTACACACACGTGCATTTTACTTTTCGTGAAACTTCTTGGACTGTATACCTGATCGACAGTGTCGAAAATTCTTTCATCGATCGTCGCATCCTTCATCTCGTACGTTCCACGACCGATCACTATAGCGTGATACAATAATTTTTGCAATTCGATCATCGGTAGAACCTACTTATTTCCCATCTAATAGAAATCGGAACTGATCTCGTCTTCTTCTGAAATCTTTCACCCTTTTTCTTTCTTTTCTTTTTTCTTTTTTTTTGCGCGTCGAGGAAGCGAGGGTACGCTCGAGGAAGAGGAAAACTCGAAGGGGTAGTTTCTGCCGAGGGAGAAAAGAGGGATTCCAGCGACCGACCCTCCTAGCTTTCGTCTTCCCATCGTCGATGGCGGTTCCCCGGTAATTGTATCGATTGTCTTAGAACCGACACTGTCCCGACCGTTGAACGTCCTAAAAAGGTGAATGACGCTCCCCTCCCCACCCCGATCGTCCCTGTCGGTATTTTGCCTCGGCCCGTCACGTCAGGGTTGACCCCTTTTGTTGTTTCGTTGGTCGAAAAATAAAAATTCCTAACCGGATGAAAGTTTGACCTGGATCTTTTTGTCGACCAGCGAGGGGCGGGGGGAGGGGGGAGGGGAGGGGTTGCAGGGGGACACAATGGACTTGGTTGATTTGCATACACGGACACGTGTGTGGTACATCCCAAGGATCGCTCGTTCCTTTCATCGAACACCGATGTCTCTCTTTAATCGTCAACTGAATGCGAGAGAACGCGTTCGCAGAAGATGTTTATGAACGAAAAAATCTGATCTTGGATGAGTTCTGGTGCAGTCTCTCTCTCTCTCTCGTTTCCTTTCTCAGCGCGCGTTGCCACGACTTCATCGAGGGAAGAGAAAACTGGCCTCCCGAGTCTTTCGAACTGAAGCTCGTGTTGAAAGAGGGACGATGAGACGGAGCAACTCTCTCTCCCCTTCGACGACCCTTCGCTAGGATAATCATAATATAAGGAGAGAAGGACCGTCTGACCAACGGATAGACCCGCTGGGGACGATAAAACAATCGAGGCTGATTTTTTGTCGGGACAGCTGCAACGGTCCGCTGTCGAATCGTCGAATTCCACCCCGCTGGACCGACCGTCCGAATTCTTTCGCGTACTCTCGTCCCCTTTCACGCGGTCCGGCCGATTGTTCTATTTACCCTTTCCCCCGGGTACCAAAAGCCGTGAAGCAACAACGTTGAAACGACGAGCGTTGGAAACTATTCGTTGGGTAGCCACCGCGCGTGGCCCGAGGAAACTTTACCGATCCTCGAGACACCGTCCGATCCGTCCAATGGGACAATGGTCGGAACAATAGTTTCGCGGCTTCTTGTTTAAAAGAAGAAGAAGAGGAAAGGAGGAATCCGGGCGAGGACACCCTTTTTGGCCGGCGGCCTAATGATCGGCGGACAAGTACGGCGGAGGTTGGAGAACGAAATGGGAGGACTGCTCGATGGCTCGCTTGTCCTGGGTAATTAGTAAAAACAAAAGGAGAAGGCTTTCGGCCGAGAGAGCGAAGGAGCGAGGTGAAATGGCCGTCTGAGAGGAACGTAAGAAAAGCGACGCGCGCGAACCGCCAGATAAAATCTAAATGAGAAAGTAATCCCTGAGGAAGAGCCTCCGCTGCCTCCAAGAAGGCAGAACGTCCGAGAAGGTAGAAAATCGGGGGCGAAACGATGGCGGAGGGAAGGTCAGTAGGGAGGAAGATTTTGGCCACGCGACTCCTTTTTCGCGGTAGGTCATGGCACCTGAATTCTCGCGTGGTCTCTTCTCCCCGGCTGTAAACACCTAGCGTGCGATGTGACCTAGCTGTGCTATCGGGCTAAGCGCGTGCTTAACCTAACCCAACCTAACGCGTCGACACACGCTCGCTCGTTCGCTCGCTCGCACGCACGAAGCCACGGCCACCAACGAGTTAACCAGAGTTTGCGTGTGCCCGCGTGCGCGCGCGCGCGCGCGCTGGTATGTGTGTGCGTGCGTGTGGGTGGCCCCTATCGATTCCAGTCCGCGAAAATAACGGAATCTCATGGCGCGCTTTCGCTAACTTCCACGCTCCCTCCACGTTGCTAACCAGCCCGTTTTCTACCCCCGCGCCTCGACGCTCGAGCGAGAACGAGCCCTAGCTCGCAGCAGCAGGGCGAGCGAAGGTAATCAAATGAAAACAAAAATCACGGGGCAACCTCCGCGCCCGGAAGAAAGTTACGCGGCCAACTTTTACCTTTTTCGCCGC